AAATTATTATTTATATATATATATATATATATATATATATATATATATATATATAAATTTGGTGCCACTACAATGTTGAAGCCTTGTGCTGTCACATCGCCTCTACTAGCACCTAAACTCTCTCATCCACCAATTGTCTCCCCACCACCACCTATCTACTCAGCTCCGCTACTAGTCATCTCCCTATCACACCAGTTCAATCTCCCTTACCTTAACACCTAAATTTCCACCTCCGTTATAGTCACCACCAGCACCTGTCAACTCTCCTCGACCACCAATAAGGAATTGAATTACCAAAATCACTGAGTTTTGGTGGAAGATAATTGAGCAAAATGGTAATAACGAAGAAGAAAACTGAATCTTTTCAGGAACCAAAAATTATTTGCCAAAAACAACTCTAGTAAGCATAGTGTTGAGACATATACAAAAATAATTTTGAGGGTCCTAGCAACGATGGTGGTTGTGGTGGGTGGTGTGGTATCGTATGGATTGGGGCGATAGTCGATCGTGATTAATTTTGTGATTTTTTGTTTTGGGATGGATGGGGGCGTGGGCGTGGCGGGAAGATGAAGTTATTTGTTATTTATTGATTTTTATTTTATTATTTGAATTGTTATATTATATTTACCATTTTGCCCCTCACCTAAGTTGTCCATTTGAGTCAAAATTATCATTTTAACGTTGAATGATGGTATTGTGGATGGAATCGATGATTTGGACCATGACTGCAGTTGAATATAAAGATTTGTGTATGCTTCTGCAAAAATGAAAGGTTAGGGTGTAATCTGCAGCAAAATTAAAGGTTTGGAATCGATGCTACAATTTTCCCTAAAAATTAAGGGTCGTTCCTCAGCGGACTCGACTATATCTTCTTTATTCGATTTAAACCTGCCTCCACCCTCTTTATGTAATACAATTGATATTACTAATGAATATCTTTTGAATGAAAAATTAATGAACAATATCAACAAAGTCCGCCATAATACTATTTACCTATTAATATTCATTATAATTTTATACAATATTGTTTATAAGATCTAGACTGATGCCAAATGTAATCTTATAGTATTGTCAAAAAATAGATACGCGATACATTGTAAAAATAACATATTACTAATGATTTGCCTCTAAAGATTAAATCACGAGATGTTTAATATCTTCTTTTTCATCACTACCTCGTAGTTAATTTTGGTATATCCCTCCCTTTTGCAACTTTCTCTATTAAATCGCATGACTCACTCTCACAAATGAAAGTCTTTTTTTGCCATTACTTTCCTTTCTAAGTTAATTTTGGTATATCCCTCCCTTTTGTAATTTGCTCTATTAAATCGCGTCACTCTCTCTCACGAACGAAAGTCTTTTTTGGCTAATACCTTCATTTTTAAGTTAATTTTGGTATATCTCTATCAAATCGCGTCGCTCACCCTCACAAACGAAAGTTTTTTTCATCGTTGCTGTCATTTCTAAGTTAATTTTGGCATACCACTCCCTCTTGTAACATGCTCTATAAAATCGCGTTACGTACCTTCATGAACAAAAGTCTTTTTTGGTCATTACCTTCATTTTGAAGTTAATTTTGATATACCCCTCCCTCGTATAACTTGTTCTATCAAATCGTGTCACTCATTTTAAAAAATGAAAATCTCTTCTAAGTCCTCGCAAAACTTATTCAAAGTCTTGATTCCACTATCTTGCATTGGACTCCCATTTTTACGCCGTTTATTACAAATTTTAAGAAGGCTGAAGTCTGTCCGGTTCTTATATGTGGGAACTCTTGCATACATCTTGCGGCGTTTGAGCCATTCAAGCAATAAATCCAGCATTCTATGATCCTCTCTCTCTCTCTCTCACACACACACACCCATCCTCGTCAAACGATAAAATATTGTTTCACACGCACATGATCCAAGTACAAAAGCAACATTCCATTCTCAAAAAGGAGGGATTTTTTTTTCCTTCTATTTTTTGTACACCACTCGCTGCAATTCTTGATCATTAAGGCTGTCATCTGGATTTGTGTCCTTTCAGAGAGAGAAGAAAACTGAGGAAAATAGGTCTTTCTAGTTTTGCCTTCTTATAATTTTGACTTTGAGTTTAAGAGAAATCTCCTCTCAGATCTATTATGGGTTCTTCTTTTTTTGTTGAAATTCAATATCTTATTTGTTGAAACATTGTCGTTTCTTTAAGATTTCTTGTCGTGCTATTCATTATTCAACAAGCGATCTATTTGGTGTTCTTGTTTGTCAGAAATATTTGTTAAGCTTCAGTTTGAGTTTTCCTATGAATGGATCACTCCGTACCTTGTTTTTCCGGAAACTCTTCTACCCAATATTCTGTATCTGACACTGGTACAAGAAATTAATTTATTTTGTTCCTAAATCTTTGCAGATGCAGGCTCAAAAATCCCAGTTTCCTTAATTTTTTATTCCTCGATTTGACTTAAAACCTTGGAATCTCTACCCAGTCCATTACACAGCCAGCTCATTCATAATCCATTCCCTAATCCCCAAATTTCAGTTCCCAATTTTATATATAGTGGATTTCTTTGAATCAAATTTGATTAATTGGCTGTTCTTTTTGTGGAAATGGGTTGTACATCGTCAAAGGAAAAAGTGTGCCGGAATTGCCAGGGGTCTTATTCTCCGGTGAGGCGGAGCCACTCAATGCACGTGCACCACCTGCCTCAAGATACAGGGGATAGCTACCACTTGGTGTCTCTTACTTCCTCAACATTAGGTTCTTTGAAGCTTGATGATCCAATTATTCAGAATCGAAGTTCCATAGAAGAAACTCCGGTTGCAAATAAGGAAATCGATAAAGAAAAGGCGGTGAAAGAGGAGTTTGCAATGGGGATGATTGAGGCCAAGACTTGGTCTAAGATGATCAATGAGAAAATCCCAAAAATAGTTCCCAAAACGCCCATTAGGACTCCTCCGGGCGAGCCAGAATTGATCAATGCTTGGGAGTTAATGGAGGGTCTTGATGACATTAGTCCTCTCAGGCCCTCGCAACATCTTCGTAGCTTTTCCTTTCGTATATCTCGGAATCCTAATTTGTCCGTTCTTGACGAGCAACCAACGCCAAGAGTGAAAGAGAATGGCGAAACGCCACCTAAGCCTTTGTGGCTCGAAATGACCGCAGACACTGATTCTGGTTCGAATGATACATCTATTCTTTCTAAATTTGATCCTGAAGTGATTGCTTCTTTTAGAAAAGCACTCGAAGAGGATCTCCCTCCGTCTAGTCCAATTCATCTCAAGCAAATGGACAGTGAAAAGATTGCGCCGTGTGGTCCTGGTACAGACAAGTTGATAGTATACTTCACAAGCCTAAGAGGGGTGAGGAAGACATACGAGGATTGTTGCCATGTTAGAGTGATCCTAAAAGGGTTAGGTGTTAAGGTCGATGAGAGGGATGTATCGATGCATTCGGGGTTCAAGGAGGAATTGAAAGACTTATTGGGAGAAGGATTCAATGCCGGTGGCTTGCCGCGAGTTTTCTTGGGAAGAAAATACATAGGCGGAGCTGAGGAAATACGCCGGTTGAATGAGGACGGAAAGCTAGAGAAAATTGTTGAAAGTTGTCAATTGATGGACGATGGTGGCGGAGGTGGAGGATACGGTGGCGGAGTTTGTGAAGCGTGTGGGGATATTAGATTCGTGCCATGTGAAACATGTTTCGGGAGTTGTAAAATCTATTACGATGATGGTTATGACGATGAAGAATACAATGGAAGTGAGAATGAATACGGTTTTCATCGGTGCCAGGATTGTAATGAAAATGGACTTGTACGATGTCCAATATGTTGTGATTAAGTTTTTATCAAGTAAAGCAAGAAACTTTCTTGATTTATGAGTTGTTTCTTGTACGGTGCAAGAATTTTTTATTTTGCTAATGTTACTATGGTACTTTTAAATAGGTTCATATTTGTGTTAGAAAATAGAAACCACGAAATGTAACTCAATTGTTGTCAACACGTTTGAAGAATGTACGAGTTTTTCTTTTTTTTCCCCCTTCATCGCACGTCCTTCTTCTTTAGGACCATGCTATGTGTACATAGCATGGTCCATAGGAGTGTACATAATGTGAGAGAGGTGGGGCCCGTGCTACAGTAGTGCGGGTCCCACCCCTCTCACATTATGTACACCTTTATGTGTATTGCTATGTACATATAGCAATATTCCATATTGTAAACCACAAAATATTGTAAGAATGAAACTAATTGTGCACTCTTTGTTTACATAAAGTTTGACATTTCAAGACGTGTCAAAATATTTGTCATTGATTGTTTAAATTATTGTTAAAATTAATGTATGAAAACCTGCTACCTCGCAATATTGTTAAACTTGATGTACATATAACAAAACTGATATTGTAATTATAGACTTATTTGTTACACTACTCGAAGAATCACAAGTACCCCAAGTAAATTTTGGGTGGATTTAGACTAATAGACACAAAGTTAAAGTAATACGAGTAATTTGTATATTAGATTACAAATAACGAAGGTCTAAACTCTTACTTTAGAAGCATAATAGTGGAGTACAAGGGAATATTTCTATAGCTAATAACACATGCAAAAGCGAGATCAATAAGAAAGTAGGGGTAGTCTCAAAACTAAATGTAATACTCAATATTAGAAATTATGTGTTTCGATGTAGCATGGACGACTCGATTAGCCACACGTCGAGCAAACTAACAATAGAAAAGAAGCAAGTACAGCTGAAATAGTAAGCAAAGGTGAATGGTGTGAACTAGAGCTCCAATCCCAGAGGAAATTTGTTTTTTTTTTTTTCTTCCAGAGCTACCTACAACTGCATCCACATTCATTTTCAATTTGTTCTTCCTAAATCGCGTTCAACTTTGTGTAGCTAGAATTAGTGACGGAGAAAGACATTTTTTCTTGGTGGGATAAAAAAAATTAAATAATATTTTTTATTAAAATAACATAAGATTAATAAAAATATGTCAATACATGATTACAATTGTAACCTTCAATCTATAATATATTAAATATAACATCAAGTGAGAATCACTTTTTTGGACGATTATAACCCTATAATAATTATATTATTTCAATAATACTCCACTTTTCGTTTTTCAACATGTATTTAATTTACACGCTGTAATAAATACTATAATTAATTCTCGATTAATTAACATTAACATTCACATTTTATAATATATTAAATATCAAATCAAGTGAGAATCATTTTTGGACGATTATAATCCTATAATAATTATATTATTTCAATAGGGTCTTTTCATTTTTCGACATATATTTAATTTACACACGGCAATAAATACTATAATTAATTTTTATTTATTTTACATTCACATTCATTTTATTAATATTGATTAGAATTTCAAATTCAATGATGCAGTTTATT